TGAAAAGTACTTTAAAATTACCATTACACAATATAAAAAAGATCGACATTTTAAGTCACATTCGTGATAATTACGAATGCTAGCATAGTGAAAGTTTGTTGTTACACAAAATGACATACAGAACCCATTGCTCCCGAAACTTCACCCGTGTATAGTTGTTACCTCTCTGAATTGGAGATCAAGTTCAGATCCAATTCAAATCTAGTTTATCGCTTCTTTTTTATTGCCAGGATGTTTGCCGTGTATTGTAAAGTTACGTTGCACATATAAAAAATTAATGTAACATTTCATTAAACATTTTTTTTTCTTGAGTACTTCTATAAGAAAATTCTCTTTTTAAATTTAATTATCTGAGAACTTCTAATTTTTTTTTTATTGTACATATTTAAATGCCATTTATAGTTTCTGTATAAAAAAAAAATCTACCCCATGCAGGCGATTTCGGAAAGGTCGTACATTTCGGAAATCGTCCAAAGTTGAAGTTTTTCTTTTTAGATTAAAATCATGTAATCGTACATTCCTTTGAAATGACAATAATCATTATCAAGGTAATAGAGTAATTATAAGTGGAAATTTATCTGTCAAATCCCAAAATCCATAAAATCAAGGACCTAGATGCACTATATATATATATAGACCTTTAATTGGCAATCCATTTTGTGAATGAATGAATGTTAAGTTAATTAATGATATGCGGGATGCATTTCTATATTTTGATAAATAAACAACATTGACAAATAGACCCTTATAAATCTTTTTTTCTTAAATTGTCAAGGCTTCTTTCTTTTAACTTTTTACATTTAGAATTATTGTCGTGTCACGGTAATTTAATATGATTATAATAATGTTTTAATTAAATATCAGATAATCGGAGTAATAAACCTAAAAGTATAAGATTTAGTTTTTCCCCTTCTGGCTTATTTTCATTTTGTTGATGAGATTTGCAAACCGTTTTTCAAAATATAAATTGGTACTTTATTTAATAACGAAAGCATTTTTGTCTTTTCGGGAAAAAGTAAACTCCGATTTTCTATTTTTCTTCTTTCGACGTATCATTTAGGAAACTTGGATTACTTTACTATCATTTAAAAATAACTAAAATGTCATTCATTGTATGTGTGTGTATATATATATTTTTTTTAATGGAAACAAAAAGGAATGTTGATTTAAGTAATTGAGCAATTAAAAAAATGTTCTAGATGAAAATAAAATCATTGTAAAATATTAAATCTTAACCGTGAATAAAGAGTTTTTTCCCATATTTAATTAATATTTATCTGATCAATTTTATTTCCAGTTCTCGTAAATCTTGTACTACAAATTATCCTAATCATCTTCTAATTATTTGCAAGTTTTGGATTTGAGAGATGAGAATAATAATAAAAGTAGTAATAATGTTCAGATCAGTTTTCCCAATTATGTCTATACATTTTAAAGGCTACATATTCACATTGTGCATCCATCTTAATAGCGTCATATACAGACTTATACAACAATATAGTTATAGTTACTCACTTACCAGCATGTATGAAACTGGCCGATTCTAATTTATGAAACTTATTGTCTTGCCAATCAACGTAATCTCCTACAAGCATATTCTTGACATATTGGTCCTTTGAGTTCACGTTCCTTAATCAATTTGACCTTTACCAGCTTCACATACACCGAGTTCACACTATCCTAATAATTATATCGTATTTTTTTTTTGGTAATTGGGAACTGTTCTTACGTTTAGATACGCCAAACTGCATTCATCCCGTTTATATTCATAAAACAATTATCAACAAACGTAACATATATATATATATCACACTAATGTTGGTTTCCAAAACTAGAGAGTTTCGCAACTGTGCGAAAGTCAAAAGGTTTCGCCATAAGTCGAAACTAGTTTTGACATTTGACCTTTGACTTTTGATTTAGTTTTGATATATAAATTTTAATTTTAGTTTTGACTTTCGCTTCTTCAAAATAGTTTCGGCAACCAACACTATATCACACTTTATATCATAGATAGTTAAATTTTACCTAAGATGTTTTCCTTTATCATAAGTTTCTCCTTCCCAATCTCGTGTTTTTTTTTGAATTGACTAACCAATGTAATTTAAAGACCATTTAAAACCTTGGGAATCTCATCGCTCATAACCATTAAATGAATAATATTAAACTATTTTAACCGTTTAGAAAATTTGATCCAATTATAGCAAAAATTACCTTATAAATTTATTTCAGCCCTAAAAATATCATTTATCCGCTCAAGTTAATCCTATCCGTCCACTAAATGCCTATTTTAACCACTATTACAACAAAAATCTATTTCAGGCATAAAATTCCTAACATAACATTTTAGATATAAGTTTCATCGTCAGGGTCTAATATAAACCCATGTTGAGGTTTGATTTTAATCCAAATTATATAATGAATCTTCAAAATTTTTTATTCAAGATTTACTTGAAAACTTTATTTGATTACTCCATTATTATTATTATTATCCACAGATCACTTGACTTTGGTTTTTCAGTTGTTTGCTTGTTTTATCCATTAAAAAATTTTTTTTTAAAACTTTAAATGATGGATTAGCTTCAAACACAAAGCAATCGACCTTGACCTTTTAATACACTTGAATCAGCATCACCTCTTCAGTACTATCAGAAGGATCGCTTTTATTTGATTCGGTTAGCTTGGGATCTACTTTGTCACCATTTTTTTATGAAATTTCTTGGACCTTAAATCATACAAGAAAAACTAGGTATTACCTCCAAAATTTTGCTGAGCCATGTTTCCAACTTTCTTGATATATTTGCTTGTTATGCTCGCTCCAAAGTGAAAGCTATTTAAAAAGGATCGGGTTATCAATAATCGCTGTAAATTACAACTCGGGTCACAACCTGCAGTTACAAAAAAAATGTAAAAGGTTGATCAATTAATTATCATGATTACGTTGCTTCATCCAACCAAATATAACATTTTTACATTTAGCCATCTTTATGAATTGTAGATTGAGGCCCAATTTGGGTTCTGGTTGTTGTCAAATCGATTCATTTTATATCAAAGGATATCGTCGATGATGCGTTTTTGGCATTTAACCATTCTTAATCCTATTTGTTATATATTTTATTGTCAAAATCATGTAAAAAATTCATGTTATTTGTAATATACTTCAAAAAGTTTAAATCTTTTAACACAATTGATAATAAAAATAACATTTTTACATAAAAATAGTCTTTTACTTAATTAATAAAGCCAGTGTGATTGATTCGCAATCCTTTCTAATGATTAATGGTTATTATAATTTGAATTAGAAATTTTATTTGTAAAAATTCCATTTCTTTTTTATTAAAACTATTTATTCTTTTATTATTACATTTTATAAAATGAAAAAAATCAAATTGTCTTTTACATACATACGAGTTGTATTAAATGATTTTTCGAATTTTAACTTTGAAATTAACTACACGTAATAGTAGTAATACGTGATAATATTAATAATGTGCTTGAACTGTTTTTAGTAGCTGAATTGAAAACATATACATGTTTGTCAATATTGACACGTAGAACTACTTTTAGGTGCAAATGTTTGTAAATTTTAATTTGGATTTTTAAAAGTGATATAAAATAGTAAACTATAGATAGAGTAAAATAAGAATGCTAAAATTCTTTATTGTTGAAGCATTAGAATAATGATGAATCTTTAAACAATGCAATTTACAAAATATTTCCTTCTGCTTTTCCTTTTTGTAAAGTAATAGGATAAGTTTCTATTTCCACAGTCCATTTTGTTTTACGATTTTCTGGAGTTTTAGGTCTTTGGTTTAGACATTCAACAATGTGGTTGGGCTTGTTTTATATATGGCCTAAATGGCCAGCAATTTGATTCAATTTTTTGGCTTCCACTAATTACACTGTCAGTGGAAGAGATGGTCTTAATGAAGCACATAGATAAAAAAATGGATGATATGCTTTTTTTTTTTAATTAGTTATTTTTGTTATTTTTATAAATTAATTAAAATGTTGAAACATTTAACGGTGGCTTTAATTATTTAAACATAAGTTTATCTATTATTATATAAATCAAAGGGACGGAAGGGATGTATGTAATTCATAGTCAGCTTAAGCTTTTTTTTTATTGGTCCGACATCTTTTTTTTCTTTAATTATAAATAGAACTTCCATCTGTTTAAAAAAAATTTTGGCAACGCTTAACTCAACGTTAACATTAACGGAAATGATGACGTTGTCATTGATGTTAACGTTAACGTTAACTTTAAACTACTCTATATACACAACGCAATCATTTTCATAACACTTGAAATTTCCTTTTTTAAACACTAAATTAAATTCAACATATTCTTTCGTTAAAAAACTTACACGAATCTTATCAATTTTTCAAATTGCAATTTTTTTTATACCTTATACTGGTCGCGTTTACTTCGTCGACACCCATTTCGTCGAATGTTCATTTCGTCGAATGTTCGTTTCGTCGAATGTTCGTTTTGTCGAAAGTTCATTTCATCGAAAGTTCATTTCATCGAAAGTTCATTTCATCGAAAATTATTTCATCCTCGAGCTAGAGACCGAACGAGTTAGATGTGAGAAGTGTGGGAAGTTAGTTAAGGAATTTGGTGAGGAAAGCGGAGTGTGTGGGAAGTGTGAGGAGAAATTTGTTTAATGAAGTTTTTTTTTGTGACGAAATAATTTTCGACGAAACAAATTTTCGACAAAATGAACGTTCGACGAAATGAACTTTCGATGAAACAAACTTTCGACGAAATGAACTTTCGATGAAACAAACTTTCAACGAAATGGGTGTCGACGAAATGAAACAGACCCGTTAATAAGTTCTAGAGAGGCTCATTAAAAACTATTTTATAGAAATTAAATAGTCTTGAAGAATTTTATGATGGGATTCAGCAAAAACAAAAGGTATTTTATTTATACTTCTGACTTTATATTGATTAAAGTTAAATAATAAATAAATGTATAAATTGTCTTTAACACTCATTTCAATCAAACCCGCCTATATAATTATTGAATAATTGATAAACATTCATTTTGCAAACTTCATAGATCTTGACTTTGACACTTGCTTCGATCAAACCCGCCTATATAATTATTGAATAATTCAATAGTTTGTACAAGCATTAAGGACAATATCTATGAAGTTTGCAAAATATTCTAATGAATATTTTATCAATTATTCACTGGTTTGTACAAGAATTAAGGACAAGATCTATGAAGTTTGCAAAATATTCTAATGAATGTTTTATCAATTATTCAATAATTTGTACAAGCTTTAAGGACAAGATCTATGAAGCTTACGAAATATTCTAACGAACGTTTTATCAATTGTTCAATAGTTTGCACAAGCATTAAGGACAAGATCTATGAACAAAATATACTAATGAACGTTTATCAATTATTCAATAGTTTGCGCAAGCGTTAAGGACAATATCTATGAAACTTACAAAATATTCTAACGAACGTTTTATCAATTATTCAATAATTTATATAAATTTCTCTTTTATTTCAACTTATATTTTAATAACATTACCATGATAAATAAATAATAAAGTCAGAGATAAATTTAATCATTATTGTTGTTGTCCATTGTTCTAATCATTATTTACATATGTAAAAGAAAAATTTTAATATCTATTTATTTATCATATTTACTTTTAAAATAAATGATTTTACTATAAAGACATACCTAAATGATCAAAAATCCGCAAATATTCATAATAATGTAATATTTGGACATTTATTTCTACCTATACTTGCAATTGGACGTGTCAAACAAAATTTTACATATATGAATATTTGATTTTGAGGGTCAGATTATTTTCGGTTTTATTAACAACTAAGGTTTCTGGTCCAAACTGTTTTCTCAAAGCCCAAACTAGTTTGGGCAATTTGGGCTTCTCAACATTTTCTATAAGCATGAACATTAAAAAACTATATGAATCAACTTGTTTTAACTTAAACAACTTTAAAATAATTTCGCCCAATTTCGGCTAGTAACAAAAAGTAGTTTGGGCTTATAAAAAAATAATTTTTGCCCAAAGTATTTGGACAATTTCGGCTACTAATAGAAGCAGTTTCGACCAGAAACCTTATTAACAACCTGCTTTAAAATTTTTCATAAAGCAGATACATATGATAAAGAAGTTATATCTCAAATTTGGTGGTGGTTGCTACACAGCAAGTGTGTCAAATGAGTGTGTGAAGACATTTGATTATAAAGTTTTACTATGTGAGAAATGTTCTGTGACTAATAGGTTAGATAGGTAAAAACAGTAGAAATTGATGATAATGTGGTCACAGCTGCATCTGCATCAACTGAATAAAGTGGGACCAAGACTAATAATGACAAATTCTCAAAGCAAATAAGGATGGAGTCTCTCCAATATATATATCATATGGGATCTCAATTAAATGATGAAAAGAAGAAAAAAATACATGTGAAATATGCCAACATGTTAAATCTATAGATGGGCGTCTAAATTGTTTTTGGGGTTGTCTAAAGTCAAAATAATATTCAGACAAAATGTCTAAAAAAAGGTCTAAATTAATATAAATAGTAATGGTTTGCTTTAAAAACTAAAAAGTCACTTGGATATACACAAAATTCAGTAAATTATCCAATAAAAATTCATTTTCAATATTTTAGACAATCATGGTCTCAATTGTCTAAATGTCTAAATTAATCTATATTTTAGACATTGTCTAAATAATTTAGTTTAGATGCCCATCTATAGTTAAACCATGTGATGAAATTTGGCAATGATTCAGAGGAAAAAAATGCTAAAAATTATTTGAGTATATTTGAAGTAAGTCATTTGTTTTTATAAGATTGGTTTTTGGTCTTTATGATAAAATATTATTTTGAGTGAGATTTAAGAGCACTCACAGCTATTTAGAAAAAACTAGTAGTAATAACTACAATATACTAATAAATATATTCATTAACAACTCTATTATTTTAAATTTAAAGGAAATCAAAAAAGTAAATATACAGGTTAATAAAATCAAATCAATCATCCCAGTTTAACAGACACAACTAATAAGCTTGATAATGATGAATTTGATTTTATGGAACTAATATTCATCATTGACTTTAACTTTTACATTACTCATCAAGAAAATAAAAATAACTGGAATTATTACAGCCTTTCAACCACTTGTCATGTAAAGACTAGTGCCGTAAATTATGATGATGGTAGTAATTGTATTTACGGCATATAAAAAGTGGTTGCAATTACCTTTGCGACCACTTTTGCAACCATACTTTTTCCTTTTTTGGATTACGGCACTAGTCTTTATTGTCATGGATTGATTCCAGATATTACTGTTTCATTTTTGAAGCCTGAAGTTGAGATTTTAGTTGTTGAACATAGTAAATCAAAATGTATTGACAATGTTCAAACAAATCTAAATGACACCATCAAACTTGCAATCCTGATCTAATCTAAATTTTAAATAGAGACAACCATGCCAAATTTTTGGAAATTCTAAACCAAGGACCTAAAACTCCAGAAAAACAAAAAATCCAAACGAATTGTAGAAATAGATACTTCTCTAATTACTTTACAACAGGGTTGGCAAATGTGTGATTCATTGGTGGTCCATTGGGTCCATTAATGTAAATATTTTAATCATATTTAGTATTTTATTAATAAACAATTAAATTGGATTTAATTTTACAATAATTCATTGCCTGAAATTAAATATAAAACCAATTAGTATTATATAATACAGCATTATTTTAAATCACATCTACCAACCTCATAAAAAAGGCTTTTTCTGGATTACTTGAATCATTCAAACTTTTTAATACTACTATTTGCTCTCCAAATAACTAAATTCCTTTTCACTGTAATCAATTATTCTTCCTTCTTGTCCATGTAGCAGTATAAATTGAACTAAATCCACCTTCGGTCAATTTTGTTATTTTTTCAAATTGCTCAAAAGGTATCCATTCTAAAATAGTCTGGCAGAGATGATTTTATTTGACATTGTTGAATAAAATCATCAATTATGTTATTCCAAATGGTAAAAAGTCTCTGTAAATGTAATCTAATACAACCTATCAGAGTATCTTGTCAATTTACACTTGTTACATCCTTTTGGTTTGCCTGATTTATCTCTTGCATTATTTAATTCAAAATTATAAATAAACTTTTCCTTATAAAATTCTCTTTCATTTTCAGAAAGCTTCTTGTTTTCTTTGACTAATGAAAAAAAATAATCTTTTTTACTTTCTCTATCAGAATCAATTGTTGCATTATAAATTTTTAATACAAACTCCTTTCTTTCTGGTGATAAAAATAACAATAACTTATCATGGAAGGACCCTATCGCTAGCCAGGTTGTTAGTGATAACTCGAAGATGATACGGCAATTACCCAAAGATCTATATAATAATTTTATGGTAGGTGATTTACCTTCATTGGCAAGGGTTTATTCAATCTTTTCTTTTTCACCCGCACTAATGGTCAACTTGGCTTTATGTGCTCGTTGCGAGTGTTAATAATTGATTTAACTTCACTAGAAACTTGCACAAAAAATGGTACCTCCCTCTTTATCGGTCGTTCAAGAAGTATGTAGAAGATTTATATCAAGTTTTGATGAGTTTCCTGCTGTAATTTATCCAGAAAACCTATCACATGATGGGAATTGGAAAGAATAAAACGATTCTCTATTAGAGATTGCATCTGGGATTCTCAATGTAATGTGAGTACTAGAAAAAAGTCAAAATATCCGTTAATTCTCAATAAATAAATAAATAAATAAATATTTCAATCGTTTTTCCTTAGTAGTGAGATGTCTCCTGGAAGAATCCAGCGTTTGGGCCTGAATTTGCATTATCTATGAATGAAGGAACTTATGTTACAAACGTAATTATACCCGCGGTTAGGGCTTCATTAAAAAACCTTTATCTCGGAACAACCTCATTCATTAGCACGTAGGTTACAATTTACTAGCCACTATATGTTTTAAGTAAAAAAGCTATAATATGATTATTTCTATAGTTCGGAAAGACAAAGTATTGCTAGTGCAAACAGAAGAAAGGAAAGTGGTCATTCTGGGAGACGGCCTGATATAATGTTTGTAATAGAAGATAAGGGATATGTTTATGAGCTCATGTTTAGTGAATGCTCGCAATTAGTATGTAATGAGCGCAAAAAAAGTGATGACGACATTAAGTTATGGCGAGAAGCTAACAATGGGATTTCTTGGGTTCGTAAGTTGTAAACCAAAAAAGGAAGAATTTGTAATTATTGGATTGCAAGTTGCTGGTACTGTTTTATTTTCTTCAACCGATTTTTAAGTAAATACTAATACCGGAACAAATTTTTAGGGGATATTTTGCATCTCAATGTGCTTATAATAGATGCGACAGATGTACATCATTACTATCATTTGAAATCGGTAAAAATTCCTGTTCAACGGGCAGATGAAGCTATTGTAACGAATTTTGTGGAGACCTTATTAATCATGCGGGTATGTTGGCGGTGTTGCATCTGAGCTTCTACTCTTATTGTGTTCATTCCATAGAATATTTTATTTGTCAATCAATATATCTCTCCTACATCATGCACCAATATTCAGATCACGTAAGAATATAGAAAAAAGTACAACAGTATCTTCAGATCAAAGAAAAGATTAACATGTATGTCATATTTTATATAGATGTCTAATATGTTTGGCAATAGAGAACTATGTAATTTGATTTTTAATAAACTCACAATATGAACAATTTCAACTGAGAATATCCGAATCGAGATTATTTACCTCCAGATATCTGCATAATCAAACATTGATTTCACATCTTGCGTGTTCTTATTTATAATATTTATAAAGTCTTCGTCAATTCTATATATATACATATCCTTATTTTTATATTGTGAATACTGCGTAGGATTCATAGTGTATTTGTTTTTTTAATAGATATGTAATTAATTTAATTATTTGGACACCATGCATTGTTTACTTATATAATATATATTAGCATAATATGTAGATGGACACATTGCTAATATTTATTACTATCAATTCATCAAAATAGAAGATTCCTTTTTAAAGATTTAATTTTAAACATTAATATTAATTAATAAAAATAAAAATTTTATTTTGGCCAATAAACTCAATTAAATTTGTCGATCATTATTGACCAATCACAAAGAAATTCCGTTATGCTGTCTTGATAAGTCAGCCAAACATGCTCAGCCATTCACGGCTGACTTATCAAGTTTACCTATGTAATTCGAATAGAGAAAATAATTCGAATGGAACGAATAATTCGAATGGAACGAATAGTTTAAATAAAACGAAATAATAATAATTCGAATTAAAATAAATGAATAGAAACTACGACTTTTATCCTGCAATTATGTATTATTTGTTTTTTTGAGTAAATGCATGTAATGCATGTGAATCCATCTCGACTAAATATCCATGCCACTGAATTCTACTCTAAAATTCTAAATGTAAAAATGAATGTTAAGAGAAATTTTTTTTCAGCTGGCTGAGCGTTTAAAAATTCCTTAGCCGGCTAACATTACTAAAAATATGTTTTTGGATTAATTATCCATCTATTCCTATAAAAACTCTCAGTACTAAATAGTTTTGTCTTTTATCGATCACGGGACACAGATAATGACGATCAACTTGAATTTCAATGCATAAATAATTATTGGCGTAAAATTTTATATGCATAATAATAAATAAATGTCAAAATTTATATAATTGTAATATATTTTATTACTACTATTATCCAATAATCTAACTATTTTTCTCTTTTTGAAATTCAGACAAGTTTTTTCCAAGATTATTTGCATATCACTTGTATGCACATATGATGGTGCATATTACTGAATAATGGAGCCAATTGATCCTCTTATTATTATTGTGACAATGTGAACAAATAAATTACAGGCTCAAGATTAACATCACAATTGTACTACCACTAAATGGGGTCCAATATTATATGTGTTATAAAAACATTAATTTTCATTATTAATTTTTTTGCTGATCATTTTCAATTTTTCAAATATATAGGTAAAAATTCAAACCCTGATAACTTTTGAAGGAAACAATTTATAAGCTTCAAATTAAGGATACATGTTATTGAGTTATCGTTAAATAAGAATATGGAGATCCTTTTTATTTCCATATTAACTAAGGTAAACCAAGAGCAAAAACTTAATTGTTTCAGAAATCTCATCATGAAGATAAAAATAGATGGTAAATATGTTAGATATTTTTCCCCAAAGATTTTTGTCCGCATCCTCATCCTGTTTCTTTTCCCTAATGTTTATTATTTTTCTTTCTTCTTGGCTTTCTTTTTTTAGATAAGCTTCAAGTTTCTGAGTATCATTTATTTTGAAGATATAAGGAGCGATTTTTTCACCTTGTCCCTTTTTAAAATACTTCTGATGGTATTATAATTCTTGGGTTCCATAGTAGATCTGACGTAAATGAGTTTCATATTAACTATTGTTATATAGAGAGCTCTGTATATCACTCAAGATAACAAATGGATATTATAAAACTGCTAATTACAAATGACTAAATTTTGGTCCTGAAATTCGTGGTAAATACCACTTTTAACTGCTAATACTGCTGATCATAGTGAACTCATATCTTCATTTCTTCACCCTTTGTGATTTAGTTTCTAATTCTGGATTTTTTTGATAATTTTATGATTAATTTTGTATTGTCTTTCCTTTTTCATTTTCTTTAATGAGTTGGACACATTTATATTGTCAATTCTTTAATCCTTTTGCTTGATTCATTTAATTTTTTCATCAAGTGTTATTCAGCTAATGCCTTTTCAATTTCCTGCTTTAAATCCATTATCTCACTCTACAAAATATCTATTTCTCTGTTCATATTGTCCAATTGTAGTGATAAACTTTTGTTTTTGTTAGTTAAATTTTGATAAAAGTCTGCTTCTTTTCATTGGTTAATTTTAAATTCTCATTCATTTCTTGATTGATTGCTAAGAACTTTGAATTGCTTAAAAAAAGAATAACCATTTAAAATGATCATGGTAATTACCTCCATTTTCTCCATTTCCCTATGTTTATCAGTAAAAATCACCCATGATTGAGCGTATTTATTCATAAAGTCTTCATAAGCAGAAGCTCTTTCATCTTCCAATTCTTCAAACATCCTGGTTGATTGTCCTCTTTTAAATTTTGTTGGTTTTCTGAATTAAATATCTTAACCTTGATCATCTTCCTGAATTATTTAAAATCTCCCCTTGATCTATCTATATTATTGTGGGCAAATCCTCCACCAACTTTTGGCCAAAAAACGATTCTTATTTTGAGTACTAATTTAAATAAGGCACCTCAATTTTCATTAACGTCCAGATTTAATTTCCATACCCTAAATTTTCTAAAAACAAACTTTATCCTTTTTAAATATTTTCATTTTTTAAATTAGCTAATGATTTATTGAATAGTTAGTAGTAATACAAGTATGCTAATAACATACAAAATTGTTTAAATGCTTATTGCTATTAATAGGATTTTGAACTTTAAAATTTTGCCAAGATAAAAAAATGAATAATTGTTCAAATAAGACAAAAAAAAACATCACACCATTCTATAACAATTTCTTTATTGATTACATGGGTTTACAATTGGAAGGTAAATCTGCATTAGATAGATTAGGTAATCCATTTTCATCAAACGATAAATCTGGTGCAAAGTCTTGAATAATTTCTGGTGGTGGTTGCCCAAGTTCTTGTAACTTTAAGTGTTGAGAAATGATGTGGTATGAGAGAGGAATAGAATTGTGAATAAATAAATAAATAAAAAACAATTGATTAAAATCAAAATAGTTTTTTCATAGACATACTTCTTGCATCAAGTTTACTATAACTTTGTTTTGTTGTTCATTATTACTGTCAAAATCTGGTGATTCATATTCTTCAATAATTTTTTTAATACAATCTGATTGTTTTTTGAAATTTTCATAATCAATCTGAGATACTTTGCCATATTTTTCATTAAGCCATTTTGAATACTGTGGAAAAAGAAAAAAAAGCAATATTTTTTTTTGTAAAGAATTTGATAAATTAATAAATAAAAATATTTGAATTTCTTTTTCAACCCAGTTAATTAATTACCTTCTTGTGGAATTCTTTCATTGGTTCATATAAATATTCTTTAGATGCCAAGGTTCCCATCATTGATTCCATTATTTTATCCATTCCTCCACACATTCCATCAATATTATCTTCTGTAAGACCCATATTCTCCAAATGTTTTAACATTTCTTCCATAAGTATATCTGTTGATTCTTCTGTAATACTAGCCTATGTAAATTGATAATGAAAGATAAGTAAAATGAACATATAGACAGACAGACAGACAAACAGACAGACAAATATTTACATCAACTTGTTCAGAACTATTTTGTAATTTGTTCATAGTTTGATTAATTTTATCTTGAAATGAATCACCTTTGGATTCATTTGGTGACTTTCGTATTTTGTTACCACTAACATCACCAATAATACTATTTTTACCATCAAAATCTACTATATCATTTAAGTTGTTAATTCCACCAACAGATTTCATAAAACCTTGTAATGTGCTTTTGAGTTCTTCATTTAATTCTTTATTTGTCACCTCATCTACCAATTTTTCCATTTCTGCTGCTAAAATTTTTGCATATTCTTCATCCATGTCTGAAGTAAGTTCTGCTAAATTGATATCATCATCATCATCATTACTTAGTTTTGGCAATAAATTGCTTGGAATACTATTATTTATTGTGGAAAAGGTAGGCGATGAAGATTTTGTGGGAGGTTGTGAGGAAAAATCATCAAGAACCTCTATTTATTAATTAAAAATACATTATGTTTAAAATTTTTATTTTGAAAAAAAAAAAGATACTACATAACTAACCGTCAAGCAGATCATCATCTAAAACGTCTAATTCATCAGCAACTGTAACTTTTTTATTTTCAAAAGCCATATCAAAAAATTAAATTTAATATTTATAAAAAGAAGAGATATAGCGTGTAACAATCGTTTGATTAGAATTATGTAATAATTTTTAAGTGTAACTACAATCGGACTTCAGGAATTAAACAGGACTCCGGAAACTTCCCAATGATTAAAAAAACATTATATATTAGAATTAGTATTATTATTAGTAATTAGTAGTAGAATTTGAGGCTTAATAGTGGTACACACTTTTTCTTGGAACTAAACTTTTACGTTTAATAATTTAGCCCTAAAATTATTTGTACCCCATTTTTAACCAAAGGTTGGTTACACATTATAATCTTGATGTAAAATTTGTCATTGTCAAAATAAAATAAAAAATATAAATAGCTATATCACATACGCAATTAATTATGTGTCAAGCAAGGTTAAGGTTATTAATTTAATTGATAGGTAGGTAATAGGTAATCATAATCAAGTGTTCAAGTGCTTTACTTTCTCGAGATTAGTATTACCAAAAAAAGAGTCGGGAATTAAAGCAATTCTCAATTTTTTTTCTCTTTTCTCTTTCTTATTTATATATAAATAAATAAAATAATACTTGCACTACAATAAATAAAGTGACTCAAGAAGATTATCTGTGAGTAGTAGTATAAATAGTTGATGTCAGTTTATTTGATTAGTAACAATAACACAAATATAAATAGACGTTCATTTTTTCTTTATTCTTTAAAAAAAAATTTTTTTCTTTTCTTTCTACCACTCACTACACTTGTAAAAAAAAAATTACATATATTTATTAATATAATTAGACTCACTTTGTGAATTAGACTTTATAGAAATATTATCTTTTATATTCAAAAACAACTAAAATAAAAAAACCCTATTTAATAAAATTTTTTATTATACAAAATATACATACAAATTAAGAAAAATCAATTAAATAAATATGATGCCTCCCAAACCAGCACAATTACATGTTACTGTTATTAGACATGCAGAAACAAACTCAAACTTAAATCGTATTTTACAAGGTCATATAGGTAAAAAAAAAACGAATTTTGATTGATTTGGTCGCTTTGTTCCTTTTTATCGTTTTTGTTAAATTTTTTTTATAAAACGTGTTTCAGATGTAAAATTAAACAAAACGGGAAGAGAACAAGCAGATTTGGTTGCAAAAAGATTACAAAAAATTAAAATCGACCATATTTACACAAGTGACTTATCACGAGCAAAAAAGGTATATTTTTGTTTTGTTTAGGAATAATAATAATAACAAATAATAATAAATTATACTATTTTAGACTGCAGATGCAATATGTAAATATCATCCAGATACGCCAGTAACAGTTGATGAACGAATACGTGAAAGGGTATTTATATATATACATTTTTTTATATTTTATATTAATTTTATTATAGTTAATTAACTATTATAAAATATTAAAATATAAAAATAAATTAGGATTTGGGTAGACTAAGTGGATTAAGTATTTATGATGCTTTAGAGTTAATAAAAAATGAAGAACTTACATGGGATGATTATGGTGAACCAAAAGAAGATTTCAAAGCCCGGGTGGTCGATTTCTTCGATGAAATGGTTGCAAACCATTTACCAAAAAGCAATAATCGTAGTCATTCAAGAAGTTCTTCTACATCCTCAATATCTTCTTTATCATTATCACTTTCATCATCACCTTCTCCACCTTCACCAACGCCAACCTCAACACCAAATTGTAATGGTAATAATAAAGCTAGAAATCCTCACATTTTAATAGTTACACATGGTGGTACAATAAAAGAACTCGTAAAAGAACATGTGTTGTTGGATTTAGGATTTAGAGTTAATAATTATCTTAGTATGAAACATAAGGCAAAGAATTCTAGTGTAACAAAATTTGTTGTAAGAAGAAGAAAAAATACTTCATATTTTGACAGCGACGACAACAATAATGCAGTTGATGATTACGATGATTCTAATAGTGTTGTTAGTAGTGGTAGTAATAGTGCTAAAGATGACGAAGATACTGGATCAGAAAAAGCTCTTTGTACTTCTCCTACCCCAATTAAGATCATTGGACGTAAAACTAGTCGTTTATTAGAAGGTGAAGTCACCTTATGGAGTTGTGTGTCTCATTTATCTGCTCAAGGTAAACGAACACACGGAGATTCACAAATCGATGAGTTTGTACACTAAAATCAATCAAATCAATCAATCATCAATCAATCATCAATTATCAATCAATCATCAATCAATCATCAATCATCAATCAATCAATCAACTTCTTTTCAATTGTATTTTACTTTCAATAAAATCATATTCAAATCATTATTTTTTGTTATTTAGTGAGCATCGAAAATTTAGTGTTAATGTGTTAGGGTTGGTGATAATTTTAAAAAATTAATTATAAAATTATTATTTTTTATTATTTTAAAAAAAAAAAAAAAAAAAAACAAAAATTTTTTTTTTTTTTTTGATCTTCTATTTCTATAATAATAATAATTAATAATATCACGCTCCCACAAAAAAAAAAATCATAGT